GAAATCGCTCCACGTGTAGCGATTTTAGTTAAAAAAAAATTAATGGCAGCGATTATTTTAAAAAAAATTAGCTACACGTGGAGCGATTTCCCATTATTTTTTAAGCAGTCCTCGCCTCGAGAATTTTTAATAAAAAATTTTTTTAACTTTTTTAAGAAAATGGCTGCTATAGCAGCTATTTCTATTTTTTAAACGCTGCTAGGGCAGCGTTGTTAAAAAAAAAAATCACAGCAGCGATTTTAAAGAAAAAAGAAATTTTTTTTTGGATCGGCAGCGATTTTTATGATTTTTAAAGGAGTAACGGAGTCTATTTTGTCAGAAGAAAATCGCTCCGTCAGGAGCAATTTTGCCCTTTTGGTTAAAAAAAAATTGATGTGCCCTTTTGGAATTTTTGGAAATAGGGGAAAAAAAGTCTTGAACGAGTGCATCTTTTACATATTCCGTATATTTAGACGGCAAAAAAAATAATATATATATTAATTTTAGGGTTAAGGACCAAATTGATCAAAGTTTATGATACATAAAGGATTATTTTCATCAAGTCTATACATTAAGGACCAAATGGAATCAAAGCCATACATTAAGGACCATTTTGATTATTTTCTCGAGGTAGATATACTTGTTTTTTTTTTAAAACCAAATTTGAGCTCGCAGCTCTTTTATTCAATAAATAGAAACACAGTACAAGTCCTCCTGGCCCAATTTTCAAAATGGAAAGTTAACCCATATATGATTATCCTCTTTCTAAATTTAACCCTATTCCCAATTCTATCCCTAAATTTTGTTTCCAAAATCTCTTTTTTCATGTTTCTAGCTGCTCCTCCTTCTTACTTCTTCCTTTCGTGAATTTTCCGTTTCTCTGATGCCTTCTTTGGAGCAGTATTCAACCATGGGTGTGTGATACTACTCTTCTTCAACCGCTTCAAAAGGTACTGCTCCTGTTTATCTTCCTCCTCCTTTAAGCATCTAATCTTTCCCTTTTTTGTAGGTGTATGTATCCATTCAAAGTTCCATCTGGAGTCTAAGAGGAACTTAATCCAGTGCTTCGACTTCCATGTCTCAAGTATGTTTTCTTCCCTATTTCTGCCTTGATATCTAAATCTCACCGCGTCGATAGCTATAGATTCAAATATGTTCTCTTTGACACTAGAAGGTGCGTATTGGAATCGATTCTGAATGTGTGGTCCTCAACTTTTGCTGGTGGAACTCTTTGTAAACTCATATCCAAGACTAGGTACCTCTTTTTTTCTCACCAATTTAACTCCCTGGTAGTGGCACAAAATTGTAATGTAACTATAAAAACTGGCAAAACTATTCACTTCTTGATTAATGTATCTGTCATCCATGTTGGCTGCTTATATCTGTTATCTTTCTTGTCTTGATTCTCAAATTTGTGATTTGTGCTTTATCCATGTTTAGAATCCTTCTGCACTTTGCTGGTAGTTACTCAAATTGTCAGTATTCATGTATCTGCAACATACTGTGTGCACTATTAGCAATGGCGTCTGCTAATTGATTACCTACTTTATATACATGCTGAACTTTGAAGCTGTTTTGTTCCACCATTTGTGTTACATCGTCCATTATTTCTAGCATCTCCCAAGGTATTTTCCATTCTCTAAGTATCATTTTCTTGATACCTAGTGAATCTGTTTCAATTATGACCCTCTTGAGCTTGTTTTTTATACAGAAATTAAGTTCTCTTTGAACTGTTGTCGCCTCCGCCATATTATTTGTGGTAGTTCTTATCTCTTGAGATTCTGCAAAGACCAAGTCTCCCCTTTCATCTTTTATACAAAAAGCATAAGTGTTGACTCCTGGATTACCTCTTGATGATCCATCTGTGTTGCACTTAAACCAGCTTGCTTCTGGCATCTTCCAGGTCACACTTTTATGAAATAGTTTAGGTTTGTAATGTGTGAAAAAAATAACCATTTCCTCCCATGGAAATTGAATCCAAGGGTAGGTTTGTTTTATGAACTGGTTTATTGTGTTTTGACACTGTTGAACCAGTTTGAAAAAACTCACCTCTCTTTCATATCTCGTAGCATTTCTCCGCTTCCATAATTCCCACATAAGAGTCGCAGGTACTATCTTGAAGATCTTTTGTATTTTGGTAGTACTCTTGACCTTCCACCATGAGTTTATAAGTTGTTGTAAATGCACTCCATCTAGTTCAAAACCTGAACAGAAAGCAAATTTCTTCCATAACTTTTGGGCTATGGGAGATGTTAGAAAAACATGTTCCATCGATTCTTGTTCGTAATCTTCACAGCAATGACATCTCGAGGCAATTTGTATCCTCATTATCTTCAGATTATCATCTGTGGAGATTCTCTTTCTCAACACCCTTCAAAGGAAGAAACTGATTTTAAGGGGTAAACCCTTTATCTACACATTCCACAACCATTATTTTTCCTCTTTCCTTTCCCTCAACATCTTTAATGCTGATTGGACTGTGAAGTCCCCATTGGTATTGCTCATCCATATAGGGCAGTCTGCTTCATAACCAATCTCTGGTTTGATACTCTCAATGATGAAGTTAGTCATGTCTTCAGAGATAAAACTCTGAAGTTTCTCTTTATTCCAGCCATTAATATCAATAAAATCTTTTACCTCCAAGTTTGATCTTTCTATGCCTCCGTCCTCTATAAAGTATAAAGCTCTTTGTTGTGTCCAGTTGTCATACCAAAAGCTACATTTTCCTGCTCTTATTTTCCACCAAATTTCCTGTTTCACCTCTTCCCTAATTTGAATCAGCATTTTCCAAATATGTGATGCTCCACTCCCCTTTGGCCATGATTGGATGATCTTTTTTGCAATACTTGTTCCACATATAAGTTCCCCACAATGAGTTGGTAGCCACTCTAAAATTCCACCACAACTTAGCAAACAAAGCCTTAGCAACATCATGAAGAGATCTAAATCCTACTCTACCTTCCTTATGTGGGTAACACAGGTCGTCCCAAGCCACCCAATGTTTACCCTTCAAACCTCCTATTTTCCCCCAAAAAACCTTTGCAAAGATTTGATGAATCTTATTTATGATACCTTTAGGAGGGTTCATTGCTGATAGTAAGTAAACATGCATAGATTGTAGTACGTGAGCAATAAGCATTTGTCTTCCCCCATAAGATAAGAACTTGTTCTGCTAGCACATCACTCTTTTGTTGATTTTACCTAGGATGCATTCAAAATGTGATACCTTCTTTCTCCCATAGAACATTGGACATCCTAGGTATGTGAATGGAAAATGACCTTGTTGTATCCCCGTCCATCTTCTTAGTCTCTGTCTTGATATAATAGGAGCCTTCTCATGAAGGTAGAAAAAACATTTGTTCTTGTTAATCATCTGTCTTGACACTTGTTCATAATCTGCTAGGACCTTCATCATCTTTTTCACATATTTCTTATCCCCTGAGCAAAACAAAATGGTATCATCCGCATATGACAAGTGATTTATGTTTGGAAACCATTTCGGCATGCCATAACCCCTAAACTCACCATCTTCATGTAATTTATTCAGTCCACGGGCCAATACCTCTGCAGCTATGATAAACAAAGTAGGTGATAAGAGATCTCCTTGCTTTAAGCCCCTAGATGACTGAAAGAACCCATAAGACTGCCCATTTACCAATACTGAGTACCAAATATTTGATATTAATCTCCAAATCATGTCAATCATTCTCTCCGAAAATCTAAACTTCCTTAATACCTTCGTAAGGAATATCCAAGAGACCCTATCATATGTTTTAGCCATATCCAACTTCACCACTACATTTTGCCACTTATTTCTCATATTGATATCTCTTATTATTTCTTGTGCGAGGAGCACGTTTTCTGTTATGCTTCTTCCTCGAATAAAACCAGATTGGTTTGGGGAGATGAGTGCTGGTAGGATATTAGCAATTCTTTCATGTATCAATCTTGAGATGATTTTATTGATAAAAGTACTCAAATTTATTGGCCTTAAATCAGTAAAATTATGGACATTTTCTTTTTTCGAAATCAGGATTAGATTTGTATGAGTAATGAACCTGGACAACGTCTGTCCACAAAAAAATGCCCTGACCATTTTAGAAATTTCCTCATTAATAATTTCCCAACACACTTGGAAAAAAGCTCCTGAAAATCCATCTGGCCCACTGGTGCTATCCCCATTCAGCTTGTAAACCACCGTTTTAATCTCCTCCAAGCTTGGTAGTTCTTCCATCTTATCATTCTGCTCTGCCGAGATCACACAAGGTATATTATCGATCATCTCTAAATTATTCATCACATCTGCTTCTCGAAACTGGTCCCCAAAGAAATCAACAACTGCCTCTCATATTTGGTCATTAGTCTTGAAAACATCTCCATGATTGGATTGAATCTCTCTTATATGCAGCTTTTTCCTTCTCCCTTTGACATATGTATGATAGAATTTTGTATTCCTATCCCCATCCTTGAACCATCTCATACCTGCCTTTTGCCTCCAAAATTCCTCTAAAATGTTGACATATTTTTTTAGCTCCGCTTCAGCTTTACTAAGATCACTCCTATTAGCATGTGTTGAGCTAATTTTGAGCTGAATCTCCTTAACCCTAATCATATCTTCAAGTGTAGCCACTTTCTCAAAAAATTTCCCATAAACTTTTTTGTTCCACTCCCCTAATGTTGCCTTTACTTTCTTCATTTTGGCCTTAAATACTAAGAATGGATTCCCAACAAAATCAATGCACCATGCTTTCCTCACTATCTCCAAAAATTGCGGATGTTTAGTCCAGAAATTTAGAAATTTAAAAGGTTTGACCACATTTGTTTCTTCAGAACTACACACCATCAGTAAGGGAGCATGATCTGAACCCTGTCTAATTAGGTGTTGAACACTACTACTCAGCAGTATATCCAGGAACTCATAGTTGACCATAATCCTATCTAACCTTTTGAAGATACATCCCTCTTCTATCCTCCCATTCTACCATGTAAATTTGCTTCCTGTGGTTGGTAATTCCACAAGCGCACTATTGTTAACACAATGTCCAAAGTCAGCAGCTTCTGAATGAGTAAAAGGGAGACCTCCTAGCTTCTCCTTTGCATTTAGTATAACATTAAAATCACCCCCACTATCCATGGGTCACTACTTTCACCTGAGAGCTCCTTCATTTCTTCCCACAACTCTATTCTGTCTGTCTCAGTACATCTTGCGTACACCGAGGTAATAGAGAATGGTTTATTGTGAAAAAGAAATTTCAAAGTTATTTGTTGATAAGTATCCCTTGTGACATGACCTGTCCACTACTCCCTCCAAAAAATCCAGATCTTCGATGAAGAATTCTCCATTGCATTATCAAAACCCAATCCCCTCTTATAAACCTCTATCTCATCTGGATCTTGAAAAGGTTCCAGAAGAGCAATGAATGAAAAATGATGTCTCTTATTTATTTCTATTAATCTCTCAAATGATTTTTGAGAATTAACAGATCTGATGTTCCAAAATAATAATTGTCCTATCATTAGGTAATGATATTCCCTTTCTCCTTACTCCTCCTTGTCTTTACCTGAAGTGGTATTATAGTATGCATAATCATATTCTTCTTAGAACCACTTTTCAGCTCCTCCATCTGTCGAGGTGATAAGTCTCCTGCCTTGCTGGCACTCTGTATGTTCATCTCCATATCGTCATCTTCTCTTTCCTCCTGATAGCTTTGCCTCTGAGTTGGCGTCAACTCATGAATATCTGGAATACTTTTATCTCCCGATTTTGACTCAACTATGAATAAAGGGTTTGGTGTTGACTCTTTATTCCTCTCCTTCTCAGGGTCCCATATCGTAATTTCTTTACCTTCATTTCTGTTCAAAAATACTGTGTCCTCTCCTTGCTTATTTTGTGTTTTATCATCTATCCTTTGTCCATGATCAATTGAACTTTTCCCCAAAGCTTCATGGCTTGTGAAGTTATCCTCCACCCACTTCCTTGTTGACACTTCCACTTTTGTGTTAGATGTCTCCTTTATGGTCTCCTCAATCTGATCTGGATCCTTTAGTGCCTCAAACTAATTATTCAACTTCCACCCTTCTTTTTCCTTCTCCATAAGTTTTGGCTTAGGATTCCAAACTTGTGTACTGGCTCTGTGCTCATTATATCTCAGAATTGTGTGATTCCTTCTATTTCTTTGTTCCTGAAATTGTTCCCTAGCTTGTTTTGTTTCCCCTTTCTCTCCTGCCTTAGCTTTGCCCCCCTCTGTTATTGTC